CGTGAAAATACTAAAAACTGAATTGGACATACACTTAAAAAATCTTTTAACTTAAAAATTGTTTAATCTATTTTACCGGAAATAACCACTGATTGAGTTTAATTCCTTTAGGCAGTCTCAGCCTAGACGTCCATATACTGATGTATTTGCTATTTTCTTCTCCTGGGACTTGGTTACACATACCCTCAACCCGATTATCTCTTGGGGTCTTAAGTGTTGCCCTTGTAAACGTGGATTTTTTTATTCGGCAGAGGCTGCCTTGCACCCCACTCCCACCTCTTCTCCAGGGAAGCCTCTTCTCCCACTGTGGCCCACAAAGGGATTCCACCTCCGGTCCTACTGCCCTCGCTGATATTTTTTCCCTCATAATATTTGACCTATTCGGATCTATTTGCAGACTATCGCCTTTACTATCCTCTATATAATAAAATATACCTTCAGTCCATTTGTTTGGAATGAAAAGTGTCTTTTACATCTCCGATCGAATCCCCGAACCTCTCATAACATATGCAGACACCTGAGATGCTCATCAAATGTTTGTTGATTGAATGGATGAACTGGAAGATGTTTTCCAAGGCATTAACGATTGCTGGTGACAGGTGAGATGCTGGGTGCGATTTCTTAATTTCCTATTTTTCTGTACGTTTCAAGTCTTTTCTTTCAGTGAGCAGGGAATACTTTAGAATCAAAAAACAAAGATATGCACCCAAGGTGTGGCTGCCCACTGTTCACTCGTGCTGGTTCACCTCCATGTAACTCTTAGTTCAACAAACATTTACTGAGTACCTGCTGCAATATCTAAGGGCCAGGGATACAGCAGAAAACACAAGGTGTTTACAGTCCAGAGGGGAGATTAACAAGTACAATGCATCGTGTGTCAATCAGACAGCGGTTGATGCCTTGGGGAGACAAAAAGCAGGGAAAGAGTATGGGGAGCACGTGTGCTGGGCAGGGATGGTTGCAATTCTAAATAAGAGAAGTCAGGGAGGGCCTCACTGAGAGGGTGACGTGTCATGAACTGCAGGAGGTGAGGAAGTGAGCCCGAAGGCACTGAGGGAAGAGGATGCCCACAGAGGGAACAGTGACTGCAGAGGCTCTGAGATGAGAACACGCCTGGCATGTCTGAGGAAGAGCAGGAAGGCCACTGAGCCTGGAAGAGAGTGACAGATGGCTAGAAGGGAGAACGTGAGGCCAGGGAGCTGATAGGGGCTATTGAGTAAAACATTATTGCCAGGCCAAAAAAATTATACAGACAGACAACTGAGGTAACCTGTATTATGGCTGAAAATATCTGCTGCCTCCCCCCAGGGAGGCTTACACATCCCTGCCTGTGACTTCAGGCTTGGTGGGGGGCTGGCCCTGGCAGTGACAGGTGAGTGGAAGTGCAGGGTGCTACTTCTGAGAAGCATTCAGAGCCTCGACGTGAATCCACCTGTTCTCCTTCCCCTCTGCCGAGGCCAGCAATGCCCTAGGCGGAGAGGCTGCTCCAACAGCCCTGCCTGGGGTGACGGCAACACGGAGTAGGTGGCAGCCAAGGTGCAAGAGACATGCGACTTTGGTGTCGTGAGTCCCTAGGCTCTTGCTGTCATTTGTTACTGCATCGTAACTTACCTGAAGGTGACAGATAAAACCAACCACCAGAATTACTGCCTTTTTAGAGGTTAAAACTACTTTCATAGCCTCTATCCACATATCAGAATGACAAACATAAAAATGACATTTCAAGTGCTGGCAAGGATGCAGAGCAACAGGAAGTCTCCTTTGTTGCTGGTGGGAAAGCAAAATGGTACAACCACTTTGGAAAGGAGCTTTGCCGTTTCTTACAAAGTTCAACGTAGACTTACCGTATGACCCAGAAACGACACTCCTAGGTGTTTACCCAAGAGAAATGAAAACCTAGGTACCGTTTGTGGCCCCCCTCAAATTCACGTTGAACTCCTAACCTCCCAGGTGGGACCTCTGGGAGGCGACTAGATCTAAAGGTGGAGCCCTCGTGAATGCAACTGGCGCCCTTTTATAAGAGACCCCAGAGAGCTCTCTCGCCCATCCACCACGTGAGGACACAGCAAGAGAACAGCCATCTACGTGCCAGGAGGCGGCTCTTGCCAGATACAAATCTGCCAGCACCTTGATCTTGCACTTTCAGCCTCCAGAACTGAGATACCAATGTCTGTTGTTTAAGCTCCCCCCTTGTGTATCTTGTCACAGTACCCTGAACTGAGACACAATGGACAATACTGAACTTTATCTGAGATCTGTGCTCCTGGAGAAATTCCCTCACCCTTCCATGTTCCCAGAACAGCCAACCACGCAAAAGACCACCCCACTCTCACATATTCCGTGATCAGACCCAGGTAGAGAGGGGCTCCACCCTTCCTCAATTACTCCATCCTTCCTCATGTTTCCCCTAAGATTCGCGGACAACTCCCTCCTTTTCCTGTCTCTATGGCACTCCAGGCCCACTTTCTTTTCTGAGATGTTATGCATTAATGAATATAAAGACTGGGGCCGGCCCAGTGGCATAGTGGTAAAGTTGGTGTGCTCTGCTTTGGCAGCCCAGGGCTCGCAGGTTCGAATCCCAGGTGCAGACCAATGCACTGCTCATCAAGCCATGCTGTGGCGGCATCCCACATACAAAACAGAGAGAGATGGGCATAGATGTTAGCTCAGGGCCAATCTTCCTCAGCAAAAAAAACCTGGGGCCAGTCCAGTGGCATAGCAGTTAACTTTGCGTGCTCTGCTTCAGTGGCCCAGGGTTCGCAGGTGCAGATCCTGGTCACGGACCAATGTACCGCTTGTCAAGCCATTCTGTGGCGGCATCCCATACAAAGTAGAGGAAGAAGGACACAGATGTTAGCCCGGGGCCAATCTTCCTCAGCAAAAAGAGGAGGATTGGCAACAGATGTTAGCTCAGGGCTAATCTTCCTCACAAAACAAAAAAAAAAGAAAAAGACTGCAAAGATGGATGTGGATTAAGAGGAACTAGGAACGTGGTGGCAACAGTTATGAAAATCCCAAGTCTCCATATTGGATGAGAGAGCACATCTGGAACTTCCAAACACATTCTTAGGCTCTGGACTTCTTTTAGGATGCTGAGAGCTGCCTTCCCCTCAGCTAACCAAGGGGGTGGGAGGTAGACGGAGAGGTAAGGGGCATCTCTTCCTTAACTTTTCTGTGATTTCTTTTCACTGATGGCTGTTCATTAATAGGACTTAACTCTCTAGACTAGTTCTGGAATTCAGGGCTGTGTGGATGCCCAAAGGGCACCCGGCTGAGCAGGCCGTGCCTACTCTCAAAGAAGTAGACAGAGACCACCAGAGGTTTTTCGATTTTTTTTTTTTTTTTTTTTTTTTTTGTGAGGAAGATCAGCCCTGAGCTAACATTCGTGCCCATCTTCCTCTACTTTATACAGGACGCCGCCACAGCATGGCATGACACACAGCGTGTTGGTGCGCACCTGGGACCCGAACCCATGAACCCTGGCCCACCGAAGCGGAGCACGAACACCTAACTGCTTGCGCCACCAAGTAGGCCCGGTTTTTCGTTTTTTCAAGCTGGGTTTAACAACTTGCTGGGCAAGGGAACATACACCAAATACTTCACTGAGCAGGAGCAGGGGTGATTAAAGGTCCAACAGAAGTAGAAACAGGAGGGTATTAGTTTCCTATGGCTGCTATAACAACTTACCACAAACTGTGCGGCTTAAAACTGCACACATTTATTCTCTTACAGTTCTGGAGGCCTTTAGTCCAGAATCACTTTCACTGGGCTAACAACCACGGTGTCGGCAGGGCTGGTTCCTTCCAGAGGCTCTAGGGGAGAATGTCTCCTTGCCTTTTCCAGCTTCTAGAAGCTGCCTGTATTTCTTGGCTTGTGGCACCTCTCTCGACCTTCAAAACACATTACTCTAACTTCTGGTTCCACTGTCACATCTCCTTCTCTGACTCTGACCCTCCCCTTATAAGGACCCCTGTGATGACACTGAGCCCACCAGATAACCCAGGATAAGCTCCTCATCTTTAACTTAATCACTCCTTCAAAGTCCTTTTGCCATATAAAGTAACAATCGAAGGTTCCAGGGATTAGGATGTAGACATATTTGGGAGGCCATCATTCCGTCTATCAAGGGAGTTCCTGATTGTTGTGTTAATGAAGTACTGCAACCCAGCAAATGGGAGGACAGAGAAGGGCCTGGGTCTGGACAAGAATGGTTAAAACTAGCCCTGCCGGCCGTGAGTCAGGCAGGGCTTGTAAGGGGCGATGCATGGGGTCTCTCACAGGCCACGGGCCTCTCCCAGCTTCAGCTGTCGGCCCTGGTGTAGATGAAGCCCAGCATCCAGTTTTAGCAAGGGCTGCTGCAAGTGGAGAGGCTTCCTTCTGCACTGCCCCAAAGGGATCCTCTTGCTCCTTTGTAAGAAAGCGAGGTGGGGACGAGCAGTGGCCCTGCTGGAGTCTCAGCCAGGAGCAGGCCAAGAGAGCACAAGGTGGACCAGAAGAGAGAGGGAAAGGGCAGGCGAGAATCTTCTTTAATGTTTGCATTAGTCTTCTATTGTTGCCGTAACAAATTACCACGAACTAGCAGCTTAACACAACACAAATGTATTATCTCACGGCTCAGTCGCCTTAATCAGACTCTCCCTCCACAGGAGCAAGTCAACATTCCAGGGGAGCCACCCAGGGCTCTGAGGCTGTGCCAACTAGCTTACTCGGCTCTCACTCGGCCAGCAACACGCTGCCTCAGAAGGGACGTCCCCAGGTCATCCAGGACCTCTCTGCAGCCTCCTACTCCCCCTTCCCTGAGACCCACTCTCTCCTCCACGATGACACCCACTTATAACCCAAGTCCCAAAGAAGGAAATTCTTCTTATGCCCTGGGCTGTGGGATGCTCTGATTCCAGAGAAGCTCCTGCTGGATGCCCCCATCCATGCTTACAGCTGCCCCGTGACCCTGATCTAGCCCCTTCTGGTAAAAAAGGTCCAAAGAAACCCAAAATTCACCTCCTTTTGGCCTCACCTTTTTATTCCTTATCAAATCACTATAGCAACAATGTATGATTTGTAATGGAGAAAAAATCATACACAACTGCAGTCCCCTAAGAAAAGCACAAGTTTATTTCTCCAAGATCAACTTCCAGTCTACTTCCATATGTGCACATATCTTTACATGGCTGTAATAACAGCAAATATTCTACTGTATGCCTTTTTTTTGTTGCCTGCCATATTATCAGCATTTTCAATATGGCAACAAAACCTTTATAATTACGGTTCAGGATGACTACATGGAACAAATCAGAAGAGTCCTAAATGAACAACAATGGGGGTGATAACATAAACGTTAACTATTCAGTATGTTTTTGTTTCAACAACTAAAGCAACGCATCACATTTCTCAGCAGCAGCCCTCTCCATCTTAGTACAAACCTGCTTCAGTCTTTTCTTCAGAGAGATGACATCACTCTTCATTCACAAGCAACTTCCCCTTGCAGTTGCCCCTCCTGAAACGAGTCCTCAGCATCTGGCAGGACTGTAACACGGAAATACACTCAAACAGCAAAATCTAACTATCATTCTGCAGTTGCAGTGGGGTGGAGCATTGTGTGGGGTCTCCCACCAGGATGTCTTTGCTGATACAGAAAAGACAGTAAGAGCTCCTGCGGAAGCTTCTCTCACTGATTACACCTGAGTCCACTAAGAGTCTGCTTCTGCACAATAAGGCAGACATTCGCTATTAAAGGATTCCTCATATCGATTACTCACAGGTTCTGTCCAGTTGAAGCACTCTGACGCAGGAGTGGGCGGGTATCCCCAGGGAAGTATTTTCCTGACATTCACAGGCTTTATTCCAGTGTACACACTATCATGTTTGGGACCGGCTGAATCATCCCTGAAGCCTTTTCCACATTTATCACCACCCTATATTCTCTCCAGGAGTTCCCTAATGTATAGACTTAATAGTTCGACTAAGGAATGTCTCATGTTCATCAGTTTACTGGAGAGCTTAAAGAATTCTTTTCTACTGACAGGAAGGAGTCTCCCCTGAAGACATTCCTCCTTCACATAGTTTTTGAGAGCTAGTTGGGAGACGAGTGTGGCCCGCATTCATTATGTTTCCACGGGTTGCTCTCCAGGGTGTGCTCTTTGATGTCGGATGAGGGACGAGCTCCTTCTGAACCTTTTCCCACACTGAGGACACTGGCTGGGACCCTCCCTGCTATGGAGTCTCTGATGTACCACCAGGTGAGAGTTCTGCTTGAAGGACTTTCCACATTCTGGACACTGGTATGGGGTTTCCTTAGTGTGGATTCTCTGGTGCTTGGTCAGACAGGAGCTGTCCCTGAAAGCTTTGCCACACTGATTACACTCATAGGGCTTCTCGCCAGTATGAGTCCTCTGGTGCCGGATGAGACCAGCGATATTCCTGAAAAGTTTCTGACACTGGTCACAGCCATAGGGCTTCTCGCCAGTGTGAATTCTCTGGTGCCTGATGAGGTAAGCACTCTCAATGAAAGTTTTACCACACTCTTTACATTCGTAGGGTTTCTCCCCAGAATGGATTTTTTGATGCACGATGAGGTGAGAGTTACGGTTGAAGGATTTCCCGCACTCCACACATTCAAAGGGCTTCTCTCCAGTGTGAGTCCTCTCATGCTGGGTGAGGTAAGAGCCATCCCGAAAAGCCTTTCCGCATTTGCTACATTCGTAGGGCTTCTCCCCGGTATGGATTCTGAGATGCACGGTGAGGTGGGAGATGTCAGTGAAAGGTTTCCCACACTCATTACATCTATACGGCTTTTCCCCTGTATGAGTCCTTTGATGCAGAATCAGGGATGAATTTCGGTTGAAGGTTTTTCCACATTCTAGACATTCATAAGGTTTCTCCCCAGTGTGAATTCTCTGGTGTTGTGTCAGAGCGGACCCATCACTGAAGGCTTTCCCACATTTACTGCACTTATAGGGCTTCTCCCCTGTGTGGATTCTCTGATGCACAATCAGGTTGTAGTTCTTGGAGAAGGATTTCCCACACTCGTTGCAGGTATAAGGTCTCTCTCCAGTGTGAGTTCGGTGATGTAAGACGAGAGAAGAGTTCCGTTTGAAGCATTTGCCACATTCAGTACACTTATACAGCTTCTCTCCAGGGTGACTCCTCCTGTTTTCATTCAGAGATGAACTCAGGGTAAAGATGTCCCCAAAGGCCTTACCTTCATATAGTTTCTTCCCTCTTTTCATTATTTTTTGTTCACCAAGAGGGGTAAAATGGTTGAAAGATTTAACACTTTCAGGGTATTTATAGGGTTTCTCTCTCATTTGATTTCTTACAAGTTGAATAACTTCCATGGAATGGTTGAAGGCTTTTCCACAGGCATCACTGTCACCAGTTCTCTTAGCTATATAACTTTTCTGACAACTATTTAAAGCTGGGTCACAATCAAAACTCTTAACATCTGAGTCAGATATATGGAAACCATTTGTTGTAGGAACTCTCTGAGAGGGTGGAAGGTCTGAGCTTGCATTCAAATGCTCCCCAAATCCAGGATATTCACAAACTGCTTCCTTAGCCCCTGGTTTCTCCCGAGTTAAAGCTGATTGACTCAAATGTCCCTCCTGGTTTTTGCAGTCCCAATGGTCACCTAGAATGGAGAAATAGGGACCCTCTCTCATAAATCCTTCCATTTCCACATCACAGGACAGTTCTTCCTCAGGCATTTTCTGAGCTGTCATTTTCAATCTTGTGTTCCAGGCTGAAAAGTAAAGAATGAAAAAAGACAGACTTAAGTACATGAAGCTACATCTGGAAGAGGAATGAAAAAGGATGACAGGCCCGGTGTGTGGGTGTCATTTTTACTTGTTTTCTTTTTCAAATTCACATCTATCCAAGGGGGAGATAAAGTGAGAGTCAAGAGTGGAGCCAAGAACAGAAAAGAAAAGAGAAGAGAGAAAAGAAAGGAGAGCCACATGGCATTTTCATCCCCCAGAAAACAGGCCAGAGGAACGGTACTGGGGGTAAACATCACCAATGGGGTTAGCCTGAGACGTGGGAGACCAGAGGCCAGGCATCACTGCTCATACTGGAACACCATCTCAGCCACTGTGTGCTTGGCCCCTTCACCCATTGCTCGTATCGACAGTTGGTACACATTTTCAAAGCCTCGATGTCACAATGTGCTTACGACAGCACTGAATGAGCAGTTCTCACCCCAGCTTTGTGTCAGAGTTCTGCCTTCACAGATGGGACGCAGCGCAGGCTCAGTGACTTGCAAGTTCTAGATCTGTCAATGACCACCCCATGGGGTTATTATGAGAATTATATCACGTCTGAGGCTGGCTCTGAGCTGGAGAATGGACAGCGCTCTGTAAGTGGCTGCCGGTGTCTTCACCATTATCAGTCTTCCTCTAACCACCCTCCCACCCCTTTGACTTCATGATAGCAAGACAACTGGCTCTCCATATTATTTTTAGGTAAAATGAAATTAGACCCTTAGCTCAGAAAAAATATTTTTAAAAAATTCCAGATGGATAAAGACTTCAACATAAATTAAAGTTTAAATTATGTAGGATACCTCCATGAATGAGGCAGTCCTTGTTCAACAAGGCTTAACAAGCAAAAACCATACAGACAAAGACTAACAACTTTGATATCAACATTAAAAACTTCCATACAACAGGGGCCGACCCCATGGTGTAGTGGTTAAGTTCAGCACACGTGGCTTCACCAGCCCAGGTTCGCGGGTTCAGATCCCAGGCACGGACCTACACCATTCATCAGCCATGCTGTGGCAGCAACCCATATACAAAACAGAGGAAGACTGGCACAGATCTTAGCTCAGGGCTAATCTTCCTCAAGCAAAAAAAGAGGAAGACTGACAACAGATGTTAGCTCTGGGTGAATCTTCCTCAGCAAAAAAACAAAAACAGTAACAAAACAAAGGAAACTTCTATACAACAAAAGAAACAATAAGAGTCAAAACACAAGTGGCAACTGGAGAGACAATATTATAAAATATAAAAGAGACAAAGGAACAGTTCCCAAGATCTATAAAGAATTCTTGCAGAACGGCACAAAAAAGAAAAAAACGGGGAGCCAGCCCTGATGGGCTAAACTTTGGCACTCACGGCTTTGGCAGCCCAGGTTCACTTTCCCGTTGTGGAACCACACCACCTGTCTGTCAGTTACCATGCTGTGGTGGCGGCTCACATAGAAGAACTAGAATGATTTACAACTAGGATATACAACCATGTACTGGGGCTTTGGGGAGGAAAAAAATAGAAAAAATGGGTAAAGGATACAAAGAGGCACTTCACAGAGAGAAAATAGAAATGTCCTGAAAACATGAATATCTGCTCATTCTCACTATCGTTCAGGCAATTACAAACTGCAAGTTTAAGAACAAAAAATATACACATTTCACATGAGTAAAAATAAAATGAGGTGTCATAATATAAAAATTGGGCAGGTCATGCAGGAAAAGAGTTGGTGGGCACGTAAAGTAGTCAATCCACTCGGCAGCAGCCATCGAAATATAAAATAGGCACATTCCACCACCCAGCAATTCCACTTGTAGGCATCTCAGACTGAGATGAGCATAAAGCATGAGTCACAAGCACAAACAGACTTCAATCTATACCTAAGGAGACAGTGTTAAAGGCTAGCAGGGAGCAGACAGACCACTGGTGAAGGAATGAAAAGTATCATGACAGCCACTTGATAGTAAAAATAGGAACCTGAAGGTTACTTTCAGAGTGCTGAGGGAAAAAACTGTCAGATACACTATTGCTCAAGAGTGACAGTAAGATAAAGACAGCTTCAAAAAAGCAAAAGCAGAGTTTATCTCCAAGGACACTAGCTAAAAGAATCAGAAAAAGCTGTTCTTCAGGGCAAAACCCAGAAATGATGAATGTGTATTTAAATCAAATCCAGCGATGACCATATAAAACACAACAATAACAATGACTCAGGGGTTAACAACAGGATGGACTAAAATGACTCAGGGGTTAACAACAGGATGGACTAAAAACTGGAAGGCAGTGGCCTGTGAGTGGGGAAGGGGTTAACAAAATTCAGTATCCTGACGTCCTTATATTGTTCATGATTCACGTCAGACCGGGTCAAGTCAGGAATCAAAGCATAAATGTTGTGTACAACTTCCAAAACTGCAGAGCAGTGGTTTTCAACTAGGGACAGTTTTACCCCAAAGGACACTGGACAATGTCTGGAGACGTTTTTGGTTGTCATGACTGGGAGGCAGATGCTACTGGCATCTAGGGGTAGAGGCCAGGGATGCTGCTAAACACCCTTTAATCCACAGGACAGCCCCTCACAACACAGAATAATCCAGCCCCAAACGTCAATAGTGCTGAGGTGGAAAAACTTTGTTGTAGGAGGGAAGAATAATAAAGAAAAGAAAACCAAATCAATCCAGAAGAGGGTGGTAAGGGGAGAAAGCAGAGAATGGACAGCTTAATACAAAATATGAAATAGGATATCACCAATAACAATAAATGTAAATGGCCTTGATGGGCAGATAAAGACACTGTATTAAATGACATTAAAAATGTGTTTGTGACAGACACACCTAAAGCAAAAGGACACAGAAGACAAAATCAAAAGTTTGGAACAGACAAACGCTAACCAAAGATTTTATGGCTCTTTGCTAACCAACAATAAACTTCAAGTATGATAACAGGTCAATGTAACAATGGCAAAGATGCCCACAGTAACAGCATACCTCAAAACACAGAGCAAAGTCAGCCAGGACTGCAAGTCGAAATCGGCAAATCCAACCATCCCGGGAGGTTTTAATGAATCTCTTTCAGAAACGGAAATTCAGAAAAACTGAATAGAGATAAGCAGCAGGAGAGAATGTAATTAGCCAGCCTGATCACACAGCTGGATGAAGAGCCACATACCAACAGTTAGAGCCAAACACTTTCCAAGCACAAGTAGAACATTTGCTAACACTGGCCATAAACCAGGCCAAAGAACAAGTTCAGCAAAGGCCAGACCACAGCACAACACAGACCACAGCCTCTGGACCACAAATATGATCAAGTTAAAAACCAGAAACAGAAAGAAAACCAAATACAAGAAAAACTGTAAGTAAAACAAAGCCCTATTTATTTGGAAAAACAAAGCCTATTTCTCAATAATTCACAGATCAAACAGAAATCGTGACAGAAATTAGAAAACACCTAGAACTGAACAGCTATGGAAATGGTACATCCGAAAACATGACAAATGAGGATGCAGCTAACGTAGCTCCTGGCGAAAGATGTTGGTCTTTAATGCTTATATTAAAAAAAGAAGAGTGAAGGTTAGTGAGCTCACTCTTCAACTTAAGAGTTAAGGGAAAGAACCATGGAGTAAGCCAACAGGAGGTAGAAGGAAGGTGGTAATAAAGGTAAGAGCAGAAGTTACAGAAACTGAAAACAAAGAAACAGCCAAGAAGATGAAAAACACCAAAAGTCTGTTTTTTAAAAGACTAAAGATATAGACATGCTTTTGGCAAGAGTGATCATAAAAAAAGAGCAGGAAGGCGCACATAAGTGATATTAGTCATGAAAAGAGGATTTAACTAAGAAACAGAAAGTTACCAAAATGGAACTGTTGGATTTATCCTAGGAATGCAAGGACTGTGAAACATTAGAACATCTATTGATACAATTCCCCATATTTTCACATAAAAGTAGAAGATATCCCCCGACACTCTATCTGAATAAATTCAGAAAGCAATCTGAAATCTCACCCAGACTCATGATCAAAATGCTCTCAGATTAAAATAGTAGACCCTTTTACTCTATGTCAATAAATTCAGAAAGCACTTTAAGGAAAGCTCCAACTCATGATGAAAATTCTTAACAACTAAGAACACAGGGAATTAAGGTAAACATCACACCTAATGAGGAAACATGAGAATTGTTCACTTTGGAGCCAAGACCAAGACCACAGACACCTGCTAAGTCCACAGCCTTCAACAGTGATGTGGAGTGGCCGGCTGGTCAGAAGGACCATGCCCTCAGCTGTCACTCCTGGATGCTCCTACTGAACAGGCCTCCTGAGGCTGCCCTGTCACCATGCCACATGTTTCCTATACTGGGCCTTCTGAGGACACTGGGGCCTGGGTGGCCTGTGGCTGTCCTGTGAAAACAAAAGATGGAGAGCATATCCCTAGAGGTCTGTAGGAGGAGGGTGCATGTGTGCACTTAAGAGAAATGAGATAAGTCAGACATGTATAGGATGATACCACTTAGGGAAATTTCTTAGACACAAAATATTCTGGAAGTAAAAATATTAAAATGGCCTGGCAAGACACCTACCAAAGCTGTGATCATGACTATCTTGGGGGTGTGGAGAGGAACGGACCTTGAGGAACAAAAGGAATGTCCATTTTATCAATAACAGATACTTCCTTTATTAAAATAAGACTTAGACACCACCAAGAAAGTGAAAAGACAACCCACCAAGTGGGAGAAAATACTTACAAACATACATCTGATAAAGGACTTGTATACAGAAGATATAAAAAACTCTTACAACTCAATAATAACAAGACAATCCAAATTCTAAAAATAGGCAAAGGATATGAATAGACATTTCTCCCGAGAAGACATACAGATGGCCAACAAGCACATGAAAAGATGATCAACATCATCAGTCATTAGAGAAATGCCAAAAACTACATGAGATACCATTCACACCCAAAAGTGTGGCCAATATCAAAATAAAGACAATAACAAGTGTGAGGATGTGGAGAAACTGGAACCCTCACATACTGTTGGTGGGAATGTAAAACGGTGCAGCTGCTTTGGAAAACAGTCTAACAGTTTCTCGAAAAGTTAAACATAGAGTTATCATATGACCCAGCAATTCCACTCCTAGGTATCTACTCAAGAAAAATGCAAACATATGTCTACACATAAACTGATACATGAATTATGAGTTCACAGAAGCACTACTCATGATAAACAAAAAGCAAAAACAACCCAAATAGGGCCGGCCCCGTGGCTTAGCGGTTAAGTGCGTGCGCTCCGCTGCTGGCGGCCGGGGTTCGGATCCCGGGCGCGCACTGACGCACCACTTCTCCGGCCATGCTGAGGCCGCGTCCCACATACAGCAACTAGAAGGATGTGCAGCTATGACATGCAACTATCTACTGGGGCTTTGGGGGGAAAAAATAAATAAATAAAATCTTTAAAAAAAAAAAAAAAAAAAAACAACCCAAATAAATGTGCATCAACTGATGAATGCATAAACAAAATGTGGAAATCCACAGAACGGAATACTCTTCAGCCAGAAGGAATGAAGAACTGATACATGCTTCAACAACATAGATGAACCTTAAAAACATGCTCAGTGAAAGAACTCAAGACACAAAAGACTACATATTGTATGATCTCACTTATATGAAATGTCCAGAACAGCAATTCCATACAGACTAAAAGTCGATTCATGGTTGCCAGGGGCTCGGAGGAGGGGGAATGGGGAGTGACTGCTAATGGGTACAGGTTTCTTCTTGGGCGAATAAAAACGTTTTGGAATTGCCTAGTAGTGATGGTTGCACAACTCTGTGAATACACTAAAAGCCAATGATTGTGCACTTTGAATGGATGAATCATATGGTCTATGACATATCTCAATAAAGCTATAAGTAAATTTACACCTTCAAGAACAATGCCAGCAGAGCTAAGCACTGACGTGTCCCCTATAACGGGACACGTCTCCCCCAGCCTGACCTGCAGCTCTCGACCTTGGCAGTACTTCCCCTGGGGGCATTTGGACATCTGTGGGTGTTAGGTCGTCACCGAGATGGAGGCAGGGGAGCCGCTAGCATCTGAAGGGCCTGGGCTGCGGATGCAGATTTGCTACCATGCCTGGGATTGCCCCATACGATGCCTGACCAGCCTGTGGACCAAAGTCCTGCAGGTATCCACCCAGGGAACTTGAGAACAGAACAAGAACGTGTTACAGGACATTAGAAAAAAGGTGCCTTCACTTAGGAGAAGGAGGCTGAAAGGAAATCCAGGTACTGCTCTGAATTCAGGAACTCATTCCCTATTCTGCATCTCTCTCCTTGACGAAAACTGGCTATTCCAACCAAACCCTCAGTCAATGAGGACGGAGTGCCATAGGGAGGTTATTGCAAGAAGAACGAATGACCACCAGGATACGGGGGGCATTAGGACAGGCTTTGGGGAAACAGCAATAAATCAGGGCATTTAATGCGGTAATTGCACTGCATTTCATTAATTACAGTTGTTCTAAAACTTTCTCATATTATTGCCCTCATACATATTTGTGTATTACTATTTCTAGCAGTACAATGATACAAAAATTATGTTGTAAAAAATTGATCTTGATGCTGCTCATATATTTTGAGGGTTCCCTGTTTTTCCCCTACTCTTCCTCTGACCCTGTCCTCAAATGTCCACCACTCACTCTACTTCTCTGAAGACCCAGATTTACTAATTTTTCCCAGCCTGTCCTTCTTTCTCCATGGTCATCAAAGAAGGTGGTCTCCAAGGCTTTCTACACACTGAATGTTGCCCCAGCACATGCTTGGACTTCAGGTCTGGAGAACTATTTTCTGTGTCCTGATGCTGTTCAGGTCATAACACAGGGGATGAATGACCCTTAGCGTGTGGATAAGACCCAGCTCATCTGACAGCCCGGGTTGCCTAACTGTGTAAGCGCTTAGAACCTGGTTCCACCAAGGTACTGTCTTTCTTCCTTTCCTATTTAATACATCTGGTCTGGGTCCACTTCCCCAACACTCACTGTTGAGCAACATCCATCCATACCTCGTCTCATTCAATTTCACTGAAGACAATGAATTGACTGTCCTATTTCTGTTAATCCAAACCTGCAGTCTCCAGCACCAGACTGCTTCCTATGTCTTCTAGGGTAGCTGTGCTCAAGCATTTAAATATGGAAATATAAACATATTTTTAATACAAACGCCTTGCCTCATATTGATTCTTTACATACACGTAGGACTTTAGAATTTTTTTAACTATATGGATATTTAATATTATCTAGACAATTCTTTTCAGGATGGTAAAAGGCACATTGCAAAATACTGATCATAAGGAGTGAGCATTACACAAAAATTAACTCAAAATGGATCACAAGCCTAAACATAAGCACTAAAACTACAAAAATCTTAAAAGAAAAACACAGGCATAAATCTTCAGAAATTTGGATACAATATCAAAATGTATACACAAGTGATTAAAAAAGGAGATAAATTGGACCAATCAAAATTAAAACGTTTTGTGCTTCAAAGAACATCACTAAGAAAGTGAAAAGACAACCCAAAGAATAGGATAAAATATTTGCAAATCACATATCTGATAAGGAAGTGGTATCCAGAATAAATAAATAACTCTTATAACTCAATAACAAAAAGATCAATAACCCATTTAAAAAATGGGCAAAGGATCCAAACAGACAGTTCTCCAAAGAAGATATACAAACAGCCAATAAGCACAACAAAAAGATGCTCTGCTCAACATCATTAACCATCAGGGAAAAACAAATCAAAACCACAGTGAGACACCACATTACACTCCCTAGGATGGCCACAATCAGTTCCACTTCAAGGTAGTTATCCAAGAGAAATGAAAACATATGTCCACACACACACAAAAAACTTGTATGTGAATGTTTATAGAAGCATTATTCTTTTTTTTTTTTTTTTTTAAGATTTTATTTATTTTATTTTTCCCCCCAAAGCCCCAGTGGATAGTTGTGTGTCGTAGCTGCACATCCTTCTAGTTGCTGTATGTGGGACTCGGCCTCAGGATGAACGGAGAAGTGGTGCCTCGATGCGCACCCGGGATCCGAACCCGGGCCACCAGCATCGCAGCGCGCGCACTTAACCACCAAGCCACAGGGCCGGCCCAGAAGCATTATTCTTAAGATCCAAAAAGTGGAAGCAACTCAAATGTCCATCAAGTGATGAATGGATAAACAAAATATGGTATATCCATACAATGGAATATTACCATATAATATTCCATATAATGGAATTTATGGAATATCACCCATAAAAGTGAACTAAGTACTGTTATATACTACAACGTGGATGAACCTTGAAAACATCATGCTGAGTGAAAGAAGCCAAAACAAAGGACTTCATGCCATATGGCCATTTATACGACATTTCTAGAATAAAGAAATGCATACACACAGAAAGTAGATTAGCGATTGCCTAGGGCTGGGAGGAATGGAGACGATGAGAAGTGACTGCTAATGGTCATGGGTTTTCTTTCTTGAGATGATGAAAATATTCTAAAATTGATATTGGTGATTGATGCACAACATAGTGAATATACTAAAAACGACTGAATTGTATACCTTAAGTGGGTGAACTGTATGATATGTGAATTATATCTCAATAAAGCTGTTTTAAAAAAAATAAGCAGCTCTTGAGTTTGTGAGCATCAGAACCACTGGTCTAGACCCCACCTGACACATTTCTGGTACCTTAAGACTTCATGAAAGAAGTAACAGTTTTATGGGGATGTGCCAAGCTTGTGTAGAATTCTATTCACAGGCACTCACCTCTGAGTGGCTTTATCTCCAGTCTCTATGACCTTGCTGAGGGATCTACTTAGGCCCCGATGCCTGGATGTTGACATCAGTGGTTGCCAGACCTTACCTGTTCAACTCCATCCCCATGGTTCCCGCCATCTCTGTGGACCACAAATGGTAATGTTTATTTTATTTGTTCAAATGATGCATTCTTTAACAAAAATAAATTGTTTGCCACCAACATTAGCCCTGTCCCAAGAAAGTCACCCACCTGACTACCAATTGTGATACAGAGTCTGACTCCATTTTTGATGATTGACTGCTGACAGCTTTCAAGCCCCCCCACTACCACCTAGTGCCCCTTCTCCTTCCGCCCCACATCTTGACAAGCTAACAAGAAGCCTGAGTGCTTTCTCCTTGGTGTTGGTGGGAAATTCAAATCATGCAGCCCCCAAAAATGCAAGGCTACCCTCCTTCCAGCTCCACTCTCTAACCACAATAAAAGCCCAGTCAGTTTCCTTTTCCTGCTCTCAGGCTATTTTTGGATCACCTTGGGAAGCCTGCCCTGGTCTCTCAAGACAGTCTCATTATGTAAGTAATAAACCTTTTAACCTCTTGGTGTATGTGTATAAAAAATAGAGAGAGAGAGAGAGAGCGAGTGAGTGTGTGTGTCTGTGTGTGTGTGTGGCAGGGAGAAAAGAAAAGTATAGCTAATGTGGCAAAGTGTTAATAACTTGAGAATCTGGATGGTTTTACAAGTGTTCGTTGAACTATTCCTGCAACTTTTCCATAGATGTGAAACATTTCAAAATAAAAAGTCGGGGGAGGAAAGGAGAGAAATGAGCAATAGAATGGAGGAAAAGTTACTCGCTGTGGGGGGAAAAATAGACAAAGGCTTGGCACTCAAAAACATTTCTACAAGCCCAAGTCTCTAACAACCAAATTTTTTAAATTGGCATGGATAAGGGATCTTTCTGAGGTGACGGTAATTTTGATAAAGGTTTGGGTTGCATTTGTCAAAACTCACCCAGTGGTGCAATGAAGTTCTGCGCATTTCACTTTAAGTCAATTTTGCCTCAAAAATTTTAAAAAGCAATACTGAACTCTGATGTTAAGCACAGTGAGGTGTTTGAGGGGGAAGCGCTGTGATATCTGCAACTTACTTTGAATGTATCTCAGAAGAGATTAATAGGTGGCTAAAAGGACGGACAGAGGAAAATATACGGGATACAGCAAGGACGGCAGATGTTAACGGCTCGGTATAAGGTCGCACAACTTTTCTGCATGAAAACGTTTATCATAAACTATCGGCGGAAGAGGCGCTAAGGCAACGAATCACTAAAGCAAAGAAGAGGAAAGCGAAACGGCCACTAAGTAGGAGGAAAACCGCGGCCCTCACTGGGAACTGCAGCGATTTTGCAGATGTTAGGCGAGAAAAAAACAAGCGATCTGACACCTGCGGGACTCAGTGGAAACGGCACAGGCCACGGGCGCAACGGGGCCACTTGGCCCGAGACCCACCGATGCCGACACCGGCCCTCCCACACCCGGCTGCAGACCCAGGGGCCGCCCCAGCGGCCAGGACGGGACAGCTAGCAGGCCGCGCAAAACGGTCCCTCTGGAACGACTGGCCGGATACGAGCGCAGAACCCACGAGCGACGCGAAGGAAGGAGCTGCGGCGTCCTCACCTGCCCGGAGCGTCCACTCCGGCAGGGAGGGCATCGTCACCAGCCGGAGGAGGCGTCCACACCCGCCGGGGGGGGCGTCCACACACGCCAGGGGACGTCCTCACTCGCGAAGGCTCCTACGAGCCGGACGCGACCACTGCCCGCGCGAAACGCGCCGGCAGACGCGCTGCTCATGCCCCACCAGGACCCGACTGACCCCCCAACACATCGCCCTCTGGGGGAAACCGAGGCACCGAAGGGCCGACGGGCGCGGCTGGACTCACCTCAGGCAGGCGAGAAGCGGCAGTAGCCATGTTTGGAGCGGGTGCGCATGCGCGCGCCGGGACCCGGATGCGCGCGTTCCCGGAGGCCCCGCGGCCTCACCCAGCGCACGGCGTGGAGGGGGGCGTTCCCGACCTTTCACCTCTGCTCCGAGTCGCCCCGGGAGTCTAGTTCCCTCATCCAGGGCCCAGGTCGGTCCGGGGGTTCTCGACTCACTTCCGCCCGACCCTTCAGCTCCAGCCCAGGCGGCTGTGACCCGACCCTCCCGCCTCCGCCGCTCGGCGCGCTGGTCTACCGAGAGTGCTGTCAGGAAGAGCGCCGCTTCCCCCCCCCCCCCCCGTTTATTTATTCACTTATTCAGTTACTTATTGGTATCACTACGGACTGACGGGTATTTATTTTCTCCTGTGGTTTTAATTCGATGCCATCATTACTGTAGAGCCTTATCTTTGTGTACTGCATAGTGTGCCAAAATAATTCTAAATCATAATTCATAATTTTTTTAATTTTGGGAAAAAATATGTTAAAATTCAGATAAGTGCACCTCATTATTCATTGAGAGTATAATTACTGAGAAATAAAACAAGCTATGCATTTTCGTAATTAATACGATAGTTAAGGATTTGAGACGATTAATAATACAAATCAATGTATGTGTTATGGGAAAATCAATATATAAAAATCAGTAATAAGCAGTTAGAAAATGTGCTTTGAAAAGAAATAAATGCTCTCAATTTTATGTATGTGTGGGTATAAAATAAAATAATTCCAATAATAAATAATTTGGATACATACAAAAATAATAAATACCCATACTCCCCCCATCCAGCATTAACGTCGGGGTTGGATAGTGGGACCCCCAGAGTAGCCCAGGCAGGACATGAGGTCCAGGGTACTAGGCCGGGATCCCCCAGCACAGGCTGAGTCATGGGTGAGGAGATGATTCTCCCTTAATATATTTTTTAATTATAAAGGGAAAACCAGTAACTTGACAGTGGAGAAACCTGGCAGGCACGACCTTAACCATCACTTTTCTGGAATTCTAGACAAAAATGCACCACTCAATCTAATCATGAAAAACACGAGACAAACCCAAACAGAGACGTTCTACAAAATAACTAAGCAGTATTCTGCACAACAGTCAAGGTCATGAAAGACAGGGAAAGACTGAGGAACTGTCACAGATTGGAGGAGACTGAGGAGACATGACAAATAGATGCAATGTGGGATCCTGGAACAAAAACAGACATTAGGGGAGAAATATAAAATTGAAATAAAGTCTGTAGTTTAGTCATTAATATTGAACCAGTGGTAATTTCCTGGTTTTGATAAAGATATTGTTACATAAAATGTTAAGATTAGGGAAAGCTGGTGAAAGGTATACAGAATTCTACTATTTATGCAACTTTTCTGTAAGACTGAATTATTTCTAAAATAAAAATTCAGGAAGAAAACTTTAGTCCTGTATTTATTCATATGAAAATAAGTTCACCATATAGTAAGCAAAAATTATATTAAACAGTATTGTGATTCAGTTGTTGTAAAAAGAGTATAGGAAAAGAACTGGGGACCAGAAATGTGGTTTATGATGGGGCAAATCACAAATTAGTGAAGTTGGTTATTAGTGGTGTTCAAATCTTCCATATCCTTACTGATCATCTGTCAACTTGTTCTATTAATTATAGAGAGAGGAATGTTAACGTCTCCAACTATAATTACGGGTCTAGTTCTCTTTTAATTCTACCAGTTTTTGCTTCATTTATTTTGGAGCTCTGTTGTTAGGCACTTAAATATTTAGGATTGTTATGTCTTCTTGATGAATTAGACCTTTTATCATTATGTGGTATCCTTCCTTATCCCTGGTAACTTTCTTTGCTCAGAAGTCTGCTATGTCTGATAACAACATAGCCACTCCAGCTTTCTTTTGATCAGTGTTTGCCATGTATATTTTTCCATACTTTTACATTTAAACTACCTATATCATTGTATTTAAGCTGAGATTCTTGTAGATACCATACATTTGGGTTTATTTTTGTTTGTTTTTTAATCCAGTCTGACAATTTCTGTTTTTTAATTGGTGTGTTTAGATCATTCACTTCTAATGTAATTATTGATGAAGTTGAATTTAGGCCTACCATTTTATTGTTTTCTGTCTGTCGCTTTTGTTTTTTGTTCCTCTTTCCCCCTTCCTGCCTTCTCTGAATTATTTGAATATTTCATAGCATTTCATCTTAGTTTATCTACTGGCATTTTAGCTGTATATCTTTGTATTTATTTTTTAATGGTTTCTCTAGTGATTACGATATACATATCTAACTTCTCGTAGTCTACTAAGAGTTAATATTTTATACTTCAAGTAAAATATAGATGCCTTACAGCCACATAGATTCCTTTACCCATATGTATTGTATCTATGCACATTGAAAAACCCTCAGGCAATGTTATAATTTTTGCTTTCAACATTTGTGTATATTTTAATGAATTTAAGAGGAGAGTTATTATATTTACCCACAGTTACCATTTCTGTTGCTCTTCCTTCATTCCTGAAATTCCAGTTATCCCTCTGCTATCATTTCCCTTCAGCCTGAAGAATTTCCTCTAGCATCTTTATAGAGCAGGTTCTGCTGGTGATGAATTCTCTTACTTTTTCTTTGTCTGCGAATGCCTTTCTTTTGCTTCATTCCTGAAGGATATTTTTGCTAGATATGGAACTTTCATTTGACAGTTTTTTTTTCTTTCAGCACTTTAAAGATGTTTTCCCACTCTCCTGAAGCTTCTGTCTACCATTTCACGGTTTCTACCGTGAAATCCACCATCACTTGAATCATTGTTCCCTTATATGAAATGTTCTTTGTTTTTTTGTTTTTTTGCTGGTTGCTTTCAATAATTTTTTTTTTCTGGCCAAGGGGACAGCGGTGGTTCCTAGCAGTTTGATTATGATGTGTCTGGGCATGGTTTTCTGTTGAGGATGACTGAGCTTCCTGATTTTGTAAATTAATGTCTTTTACCAAATTGGAGGAGTTTGTAGCCATTAGTTCTTCAAGCATTTTTTTTCTGCACCAATCTCTTTCTCCTCTCCTGATGCTTTAGTGGCACAACTTTAGACCTTTTG